CCAAACCCCGCCTTTAAAATTGCCCCCCCCCCCCCCCCCCTAGTCCAAATCCTGGCTCCGCTATTGGTATACCCATGTATAATTCAATGAAAATCTTATGCAGATTGTAAAGCAAGAGAAAAGACTTCGCGTAACGGATATATTTTCTTTCGAAATGAAGACGCAAGCAATGGTACTTAAACATTTGAATTGAATCAAAGTTACTGACTGTTACATACCAACATGTGACTTTGAGAAAAATTCAAAGATCTTCGAAGATCTATAAAAGTCGCCAATGACATGAACGGGGAATATACATGTGTGGATGAGGGCGCCACTAAACAGTTGTCTTGTAATATAATCAACTGAACAGATAAACAATAAAAGATCATTTAGTTTTATTTTGAAAAAAAGACAAAATTCTTTCCTATTCAAATAAAAAATATTATCCAAAAATTAATTTGATTATTTCCACCGAAAATGCGGTCTATATATATATGTTGTTTTCTCATTAGAAAAAAGTCTCATTAGTCAACGTTCTAACTGATCGAATTCAGAGATTAGTCATTCATATGAAGATCTATCTTCTTTTTTCTTCTTTTCATTCATAAATATAATTTCTTTCGAAATTGGATTCTTATTTGAAATAATTATTTTTCAGAATTCTAGAAACAATGTCAGCGAACGATAGATTGACTCGAAGTTTGCCTCATTTACAAAATTTGATTAAACGAGATTCTGATGCATATCGAGAAGACGTAATTACATAAAATATTTAAGTTTTATTTGTAAATTGAACATTTTTTCTTGAAAAATTAGTTCAAACTTCAATATCTTCATTTTGAAAGTCAATTTATGGAATTAACAGCTAAACCAGATACATGGAACAAATCATTAGCTGAAAACATATCATTTGTTTCACAAGTCATTTTCTAGTTTCTGCCATTTTCGAATAATAATTTTATTTAACTTTAGGTCGCTCATTGTTATCCAGAAGAATGTAAAGGATTATCACAAATGTTTATTGATGTTCTTCGACTTTATTCAACTCTTCTCAATAATGATATTCGACTTGTAAATGAAACTTTTAATGAAACATCTTAATTCACGATTATCTTCTTGTTTTTTCTTTCTTTTTCAATTAATTTTAGGTAATTGTACGTGCACTTATTTTAATGCGTAATCGTGGCTTAATTGATTGTATTCAATTATGTGAATTATTTTTTCTTCGTTTATTGCAATGTCAAGATCGTCTTTTACGTGTGACCATTCAAACACATATTATTAATGATATTAAAAAACAAAATGAAAAACATAAAAATAATAAATTAAATAGCGTTCGTATTCTATTCTTCAATTATGTTTTTTTTTATTTATTTTCTTCTTTTTTTAAGACATTACAAAACTTCATGTGTACCATTATTAAAGAAAGTAATGCAATCGCTGTTAAAATGGCATTGGTAAGATTCTTTATAATGCTTAAAAATACGTAAAGATTATAAAATAAACATTTTTTTAAATAAAAGTAAAAATCCTATCGATCGTACTTCTGAAACAAAAAAAAACGGGATTGAAATAAAAACTCTAATAATGAGTCATGTGTCGTTCAGCAACAGATAACAATATATCATTGAATTTTTTCATTGTTATTATTATGATCGTAACTGTTATCTGACGGAAATAGGAAAATTTCATCATAAATACGAGAGATTCAATTTATTTTTGCGATAATTATAAAAAAATGAAGTCAAGTTGTAGACTGAGTATCGAACATGAGACGAAATTTATCAGAGATAACTACTGAATCTGTCTTATATCAATATCTAAATAATTTATAAACGAGATTAATTGAGATGAAACTAAACAAAGGAATCATTGAAAATTTTACAAGATATTTCTGTACAATACAAAACATAAAATGAATAATTGTTTAGGTTGAAAGATATTTACTTTTTTTTACACTTATGTTTGACTAGTCTTTAAAAAACTGAAGTATAATAATCCTTCGATTGTTTCAACAGGTTTCATAGCGAAATCCTAATCAAGAAATTTTCACGGTCACTCCTGACGATTTCTAACAAATATCTTTTCAGTCTGCAGTTGAAAGTTTCCTAAGAAACGAATTATCAATAAACCGTAGTCGAATCTTTTAAGCTCACATTTTTTCTTATGTCGTTACCAATAACTATAAGACGACAGTTAAACTTGAAATTTCTCTTTTAAATCAACCATTTAGCTAGTTTAAGTTTGCTTGAGCAAAATTTTCTATAGTGAAATGCTTTTCGAGTTGTTTTATTATTCGTTTCAAAAAAAAAGAAAAAGAAATTAAGATAATTGATTTCATATCGAAACTCTTATTTTGGTCTATCTCTGTTGGTTTTTATGAAAGGTTTGCGAGAGAATTATATTCGGAATCTAAATATAATATCTTATGTTTCAAGCTGATTGAGATATTTATTAAATGTGAAATGTGCTAATATGTTTACGAATGACTCATTACTAATTGATAGATAGTTAGAAAAGTGTTCAATAAAAAATATAATTTATTGAGATTTGTTCGATTTTCGTTCATTAATATATTTAAAATGAAATTTTTTATTTACTTGTATGAAATCTATTTGATTAGTACTTGAAAAATTTTGACATTTAAATTTGTACCAATGATTTGCTCATTTCTTCTAGGATATAATGGTTAGTCTATATCGAAAAAATATTTGGAATGATGCCAAAACAGCTAATATCATCGCTTCGACATGTTTTTCAAAAATCACAAAGGTTTGTTGATTTATTCACTTAAAATTTACCTTTTCATTCTTTGTTAGGTTCAAGTAGCAGCATTGAACTTTTT